CTCCCCATGTGATCACCGGCCTGTGAATGTGATACGGACACGACAGCGGTGGCTGCGTTGCCTCCGCTGCTCCGGGCTCGCTCTCCGCTTATCTGGTGGTCCTCGCGGCCTCCCCCTCGGCCTCCGCGGGATGCAGGGCGGGACCCGCCGGGCCAGGCCAGGATGCACCGAAAGGACACTGCAGTCGTAAAGGGAGATAGCGGCGGCGGCGTCCCTTCGGCACTGAGGTCGCGTCGCGCCGCGCCGCGCTGAATTTTCCCATCGTAAACTAGCGAGTTTAAGGCGGAGTTTTATTTAGGGCGTAAGTGCGCAGTGGTCCCTCCCCCGACCGCCGCGCCGCGCCCGACCGGATCCACGCGGACCGGACCCCAAACGGCCGGCGACGCGTCGCGATAACGCCGCCAGAGGCCCTGAGACCGTACCTTCACCCCAGTGGCGGTATATTTGGGAGGAGCAGCGAATGGGACTTCAGGGCTTACGGAGACTTGGGCGGGCAAGAGGGTGTAAATTCCCGATCTTGCCAAAACTCGGTATTTTTGCTTCTTATCCATAGGTGACGAATGCCGATCAGTTTTTTTTCCTGACCGTAGCACTCCCTACAAAAGCGAATGTAAGTTCAAAGAATAAAATTTATAATTTAAAAAAATTAATAAAAGAAAGTGATATTCTGTCTCCCAGTAAACACGAAAAACTCACGAGGACGTCAAAATGACATCAAAAGGACTAAATTGGTCACGAAAGAGGTCAAAATTTAGGCTAAAAGTCAGTCATTTTGACGTGATATCGAAGTCAATGACCCTACTATGACCTATTCGTGACTTTTTCGTGTTTATTGGGCTCGGAACTAGCGGGTTGGCAGGGTTAGTAGTTCCTCTACCACTCTTCGATTAGAGAACTCCTTCCATCATTTTTTTATTCCCAAATTTAGAAGATTTTTCATTATTTGCCCCCCCCCCCCAAAGTACCCTAGAATATGGTGGTCAGAAAAACGTCTTCCGTCAATCATCATCAACATATACTCAGTTTGGGCAAAATCGGGAATTTAGACTTGCCTCCGCGGAGAACTGAGACTGGCGCTGGAAAAGTGGGCGTAAGCTACCGCGGCGTCCGAACTCGCATCCAAAACGACGT